GTGTGTGTGTGTGTGTGTGTGTGTGTGTGTGTGTCTCACCCTGGCCTGACTGATCATCTGTTGCTCCGAGTCTTTCTGGATGATGGATTTCTTCACCACCGTCGACAGGATGAAGGGAAACTGACAGAAGGAAAATCTAAGAGAATAAATAATATTAGTGTTTAAAGTTCAGCAGAGTGAATCATCTTCATTCTTCAACCGCTCCGGTTTGTTTTCTGAGATTATAAACTTTCATCCAAATGATCAGGTTCTGAAATCCACAGCCTCCAGACCCAAACCGAGCAGAACCCCCGTCAGCCAGGCTCGTTAGAACTCTGGATCTGTTTCCTCCTCAGCGGACGCTAACGAGCTGTGACGCAGCGTGACACAGACTCCACGGTTTCCTGGGATCTGGATCAGCTGCAGCCGTGGGAGCGTTACCTCGTCTCTGCTGAGCCCGACCAGGAACCGTTAGGTTAAGGTTCCTTCGGACGGCGTTAACGTCACTTTGCTCGGTCAAGTTCATCATTTTCACAAAACCTGACACAGACTCTGCTGCTTTCCTTCGTGAGACCAAAGATCCAAAAATAAATCATGTCAGTTTGGGATATTCCATAACAGGAAATACTTCAGTACCCATGAGCCTCGGGGGCTGGAGAAGACTCAAAGCTGCTGAACTGATCTGACGTTCGTCCAAAACACAAAAATGGTTTGATACAACTTTCATCCCCTGAATTGAACCTGTTGAAATAAAAAGTCTTCACATTTCCTCATTTGATGAAGTGATGTTTATGTCTGCAGCCAGTTCTGAAGCTCTGATTGGACGGGGCTTACAGCAAGGCTCCCTGGGATTTTTATTTTTGACTTCACCAGCACAGAGATTGTGATAATCTGAAGTTTTCCAACTTTCCAGTGATATAACTTTACAGGGTAGGGTAGTAACAGATTACCTGTAATCAGATTACAAATAACAAGTGACTATAAGCAGAGAACACGACTGAAGAGGAAGTCTTCGACTGATCGGCCTCTGTGACAGACCGTGATTGACAGATGGGTCGTCCAGTCACAGTCCAAGTATTTTTTGAAATGTTTTTACAAACCTCAAACCTCCGGAGACGATTCGAACATGTGACGTATAAAACACAACAAACCAGCAGCAGAGAAGCGTCCTGAAGGTTCCTGACCTGTTGGAGTTGCCGTAGTTCTGCCAGGTCCTGTAGTCCTCCATGAAGTCTATGTGCTCCAGGGTGATGTTGTAGAAGTCGGTGAAAGGCATGATGGGAGGAGAGGAGACGCTGTTGGCTGCATCTGATGAGAAGAAATAGAAGTGTATGTCTGGGGGGGTGTCTGTGTCTGTGTGTGTGTGTGTGTGTGTGTGTGTGTCCCTCACTGAACAGGCTGAGCACTTTGGTGGCAGACGGGATCCACCAGGAACATTTGGCCAGAGGAGGAAGTTCATCTGGTTCTGCAGGAAACAGGCGGCTGGATATGAACTGCAGGAGGCGCTCTACTAACTGCTTGAAGCGCCGTGTGGACAGCCTGACGTGCACACACACACACACACACACACACACACACACAGTTAACACAGAAATAAACTGTTACATACACAGAGGAGAAAATAGCAGCTTTGGATGAAGAAACATTTTGAGGCCAATGACACAGTTTGTAATTTAAAGCAGCTCGATGGTCAATGATCACCACAGACATGACGTCAGTGAGCCTGAGACACTGAGCTCTTATACAACGTGTGATTCAACGAGGACACAGCTGCAACACACACACACA